CGTGCCCAGGGCCGTCATGGAAGAGTGGTTGCTTGTTGTTCACAGCGGAGCTGGGTGAAATTTTGCGCCCTGAGCTGACTGACTGACCGACTGAACTGGACTGACTGCGCTGGAGGGGCCGTTTTGACAGCGCAATTCAACCCGCCCGCGGGTGCAACAGCAACCGCAACCAGGCGACGCATTTCAACCCGCCCGCGGGCGCAGCCGCAACCGCAATATGGCAACGGATTTCAAACCGCCCGCGGGCGCAACCGCAACAGCGACTAAGCGACGCCTTCCAAGCCGCCCGCGGGCGCAAGCGAAACCGGACGGCGTATTTCAACGCGCCCGCGGGCGCAATTGCAACCCCGGCCATGCGACGCATTTCAAACTGCCTTCGGGCGCAACCATGAACGCAACGGCAACCAGACGACGCAAGTCAAGCCGCACGCGGGCGCAACCACAACCGCAACCACAACCAGGCGACGCATGTCAACCCGCCCGCGGGCGCAACCGCAACCGCGATCAGGCGACACATTTCAAACCGCCCGCGGGCGCAACCGCAACCGCAACCGCAACCGCAACCAGTCGACGTATTTCAACACGCCCTAGGGCGCAACTGGGACCGCATCCAGTGATCCAGGCCATGCATTTCAAGCCGCCCGCGGGCGCAACCGCAACCGCAACCGCGGACCGGCGACACATTTCAATCCGCCCTCGGACGCACCAGGGACCGCAACCGGGTGGTGACACATTTCAAACCGCCCGCGAGCGCAATTGCAACCGCAACCAGGCGATGCATTTCAACCTGCCCGCGGGCGCAACCGCAACCGCAACCAGGCGAGACACATTTCAACCCGTGGAGGCCTTGGGGCCCTCTTGGGGATCTCTTGGGGCCCTCTTGGGGCTCAGTTGGGGCTTTCCTGGGGCCTCTTGGATGCCTTCGGGCCCTCTGGGGGCCATCAGTACGGCCCGCCCGTCTTGGCCCGAGCATGTGGTTCGTGGGGGCCTCTTGGGGCGCTCTTGGGCACTTTTGGGGACGGCTTGGGGCCATCCTGGGCGTCTCTTCGGGCCCTTTTGGGCCATTTTGGAGCCATCTTGAGGCCATCTTGAGGCCTCAAGAGTTTTTCGAAAACGAGAAACGACAAAGGCGAGAAGGTAAACGCATTGAACAACACAGTGGTTTTGAATGACATGGGCCTCTTAGAGGCCTCTCTGGGAGGTTCGAAGGGCACTTGGTTTGGGGAGTTCTTGGAGGTAGATTGGAGGCTACCTTGACGCTTCTTGTGATATCTTGAGCGATCTTGAAGACCATCTTGGGCTCTCTGGGGCCCTCTTGAGGCCATCTGGGGCCAAACAGACCCTCTGTCATATCTCGGGGGGAGGGTTCCAGATCCAGAGGAGGGGTGAGGGGGAGGGATAACCCCCTCCCAGAAGGGGAGAAGTGGGTTAGCAGAACGAATTCGTTAAACCACCCACGCCCTGAAGGGGTTGTGGGATCATATGATTTTCTACTCGATCCAGCCGCCTCTGCTCGCGTGCGTTTAGATCGGGTGGAAGCGGGGAACTGACGAAAGTGCAGCGTGCATTGGCGGGGGAGACGCAGGTCGAATCCCCATGCGCGCAGGCCGAAAGATATTCTTCCTGGCGCCGGATGACGACGAGGGACTGACCGACGGCGACCGGCCGACCGGCGACGATCGACGCGCCGACCGACCGACGCGCCGACCGACCGGCTGGCAGGCCGACCAACCAAATACGATAATCGACCGACGGACCGATCTGCCGCCAGACAAGGACACCCCTGTAGAGTTATTGCGTTGGTATTCAGGTCCATGGCTCCGCGGATCCCATTCCCCGTAGGCCCACGATACTCATGGTTTAGTGTTTTTACTGTTGTCGTTCGTAGAGACATTGATCTCAGCGAACGAATGGGAATGCATTAATCTTCCGCGCCAAAAAGTAGGATCCGGGACATGGGGAAATGGGATCCTCTAGACTTCTGCATACGCACAATGGGATCCAACGGCATCATGTGTTTTCGTATGCAAGACGATCATTTTGCGGCCTGGGGATCTATTCGGTGCTCCGCTTTGCGCTTGCACCCATGAAAACAGGTGCAAGCGCCACCAGGCTCATGTGGAACATCCTCCTTCGCGCACGTAGGGTGTCGTGGAAAGAATCCACCGACCGCATGGTTGACATCCCCCTCTTCCGCCACGACATCCGCCTCCTTTGCTGGGACCGCAACGTTCAGATGGACTGGGATTGAGTCTGGCAGCGCCAGCGCCACAGGAACTCCATCGCCCAGGGCCGTCGCGACGAGGGCCTAGGCAAGAGGGAAAGGCAGCGGCCCGCACGGGAAAGGCAAGCGACACGCCGATCCCACCTGGCCCGAGAACGACCAAGCGAGGCCACTCCTACCAGGCCTACCGGGCCTAGAAGGCGGTTACCTGGCTTGGGTCACAAAGCAGGGCCAGCCGACCCTGCGCCCGCCCCAGTGACACCCGCTTGGACACTGCCCGCGTGGGCCCACACTCCAAAGCAGTACTACCTCCGGTTACCGCACTGGGTACTTGGGCTGTTCTCCCAAATGCTGCGCGCCGTCTCCCTGGGCGATGCAGCCCTGTTTCCACAAGGAGTTGCACCGATCAGGTGCGTTCAGGTGCGTTCTGTTTTGCCACGCGTTGTCTGCCCAGGCGGTGCGCGGCCTGCTTCCATAAGGTGTTGCACTGATCAGGTGCTCCTCTCTCCTCCTGCTGGGCTGCCCAGGCGCCCCCGCCCCTTGCCAGCCGGGCCCCCGCCCCTGGCGCCTCGCCATTTTTGCGCGCGGACCAGACCCCTGGTCCCACCTGGGCCTCACGGCCTACGCTCTGCCGCCCCGCAGCGCAGCCCCGTGCACAGCTAGCGCTGCACGGCCGTGGGGCTTCTCACGCCTGGTTCGCCGCCAGCGCTGGGTTGCGGGCCACCGCCGCCCCGCCTGATAGGGGGTTCCCGAAGGCGGGACGCTCCTCGTTCCGTTCCCTTTCCCATCCTCCCTGCCTCCTTCCCTCCCTCCACGCGCGCCGCCATGGTGCCGCCTGCTGCCGCTCCTGGCGCGCAGCCCCCCCCCCCCTGGTGTCCCTGGCTGAGGACGCTGCGCTTGGGCGCACCTCCCCCCAGTCATCCATTTGGTGGGCACAGCATTTTGTTGTCGGCAGTCCCCAACCTGGACGCCAGCACTGTTTACGACTTGCTCTACCTCGTAGTGAGCATCGGTGGGCAGCGCCCGTGGGCGCACCGACGCCGCGGCCCGGCTGATGCCACGGCCCCCGCTGCCGCTGCTCGCCGCGCCGGCGCACTCAGCGTGGAATTCTTCCGCGTCTGAGTGTCTTCCGCCCTCTCCTGACCTTCGCGGCCGCCCTGTCTGTGAAGTTCCCCCCTCTTGCACGCCAGCCAGTTCGCGTATCGATTGCCCCAGATCGCCGCTCGCTGGAGCAGTTCTGCTTCGCCGCTGACGTTCAAAGTTGAACATTTGGACCCGGACATGTGAAAACATGTCCAACATGCGCACGCGTTGGGCACACGTTGGGAAGCCCCTTTCCACGCCCGAATGGGTGAATCCGCCGACCGCGTGTTCGACGTCCCCTGGCGGATTTGGACACGCGAAGTCGCATGCCAAACATGCATGCGTCAGACGCACGCAACAATCCCTCTCCACGCGCGTAATTACATTTACGCGCGGAGTGTCCGCCGACCGCATGTTCGTCATCCTTGGGGACCTGGACTTGCGAACGGACGTGCTAAACCCGCGCGGGCCAGACGTACGTGGGGTACCCCTTTCGGCGCACGTATTTTTGTGGTGGAGAATCCGCCGACCGCGTGGTCGATCGCCCTGGAGGCCTGGACGTGCGAAAACATGTGCCAAACACGCACGCGCCAGATTTATATTGGATGCCCCCTTTTGCGCACGTCACGTGGCTGAAGAATCCGCCGACCGCCAGTTTGACATCCCCCTAGTGGCCTTAGCGGATATACTCACGTGAAAGTGCCAAACGCGCACGTGCCAGACATTTGTTCGAGCCCCTTCCGCACATGCACCTGCACGGGTGAAGAAGCCGATGCCACTTGCTCGACACCCCTCCGGTCTATGGCCAAAAGCCCGCCCACTAGAAAAGAAATTGGGGCCGGAACCTTCAACAGGACAACTGCGGTGGGAAGATGGCGAGGGCCAGCAGGAGAGAGGGGAAGAGGGGAGAGTCGAGTCGAGACCTCGGTCGCCGAATCCTTCCCTGTTCGATTCGCAGCAGGTATCGGAACTTGCGAGGGTGGCACGGCGCCGCTGTCATCCTATTCAGAGCTATCCCCCAATCGGGTGCTGAACAGCAGATGGCCCCAAAACCCCGATTCCGAGAATTCTGGGCATGCCAACATCGACCCCTCTCGGGGGGTCCGCATTTTTGCCTCCGCCAGCTGACTTCCGCTGAGCTTGCGCCGAACAGACATGCTAACGGGTGTGCGTCCCCAAACTTCCCTGTGCTCCCGTCGAGGGCAAGATGGGGCCCCAGAGCCCGCGACCCCTCCCCGTAGACCAGGTTTGAATCCGGGGTCGTTTCCTGACAGGCCGGGGGCCCGAAACGGGCCTCGAGGGCCGAGAGCGGGGACAGAGTTTGCCGTCACAACCTTTTACTCATGGCGAATCCAGTGGTGGCGAGGCTCACGGGTGATTCCTCTCCCCAAGTTCCCTCCCCTTCCCCCCCCAAAAAATTGGTCGTTCAGAAAAGTCGCCACACCCTGCGTTAGAGGCTGAGGTCGAGGAAAGAGGGAGGGAGGCGGCCGTGCGAGCGGAAAATCGACTGGGATGAGCTGGCTGGAAGGCGCCTCGAGGTGCACCACAATTGAAACCAGGCCAGAGTCGAGGTGCACGCTGCGCAGAAAGCAGGAAGGGCGTACCCTGCAGGCTGAGGCTGAGCTCGCAGAGCAGGAGAAGCTGCCGTGTCTTCTTCCCGACGCGGCGGCCCGCTCCTGGCCCGTGCCAGAAGGAGTTGCCTCGGCTGTACCGGGCCGCCGACTGCTTCGTGACCATGAGCCTCTCCGAGACCTTCGGCCTGACATGCCTGGAGGCGGCCCTGGCGGGGCGGGGAGGGCGCAGGAGCAGCAGGAGGATGAGGGCTTCAGAGGAGCAGGAGGTTCTAGGGGTGTTCGGGGAGTCCCCTGGGGAGGAGCAGGACGAGGAGCAAACACATGAGGAGGAGGAGGAGGAGGAAGAGGAGGAGGAGAAGACGGAGGAGCATGAGGAGCAACCAGACTTCCATGCGTGCGACGCGGAACAAGCACACGATTGTCACGTTTGTATTATACTTGGTCTATGCGGCCGTCTTTGTTCAAAACTTGGGGCTTGGGCGGCCTTAGCACAAATCAGACGTGACGACATAGTGTATCCCCAGAGTGGGGTCGGTAGCTTTGGGGCCGCACGTCGAAATTTCTATTTATATCTACAAATATGTATGTCTGTATGCAAGAATGCATGGGCGTTTCGCCACATGCACCTGGGCCCTTCCGGATCAGCGCGCAGGCGGAAGGCGGGTCGCGGGAGAGAAATAGGTAAATAGAGACAGAGCGAGAGAGAGAGAGAGAAAGCGAGAGAGAGAGAGAGACAGAAACACCAAGCGGGCGAATATTCCTTGTTGCCGTAAGCACCATCGTCATTACACATCTGCTATATATACATCACTTGCCCCTCGTGCTTCCTCTTCATTTTGGTGGTCTTCGAGTGCCTGTTGGGTTCGGTTGTACTGGGAGCTGTTTGGGGCAACCGTGGCGCTTTGCTACCGCGAGTGACATCGGTTACGAAGTAGTGCCAAACCGTGGTTGCGCGGGCGTACGCTTTTTCAGAGAGCAACGCCACCCTGGTGGCAGTGAGTCAGACATGCAAGAATGATGGCTCCAGGATGACCAAAGATGGCTCCACGTAAACCTGGAACATCTTCACGCTGGCTTCGAAGAGCCCCAAGAGCACCCGATATGGCCCCAGGAGCGCCCTCAGGGATACCGCGGGGGTCCCAAGAAAGATGTGAGAGGGCCCCCAAGGCTTCCAGAGTGGGTGCCGAGAGAATTCTAGAGACTACCCGAGGAGGGCGAGAGCGCAGGTTTTGATCCTTCAGCGCTTCCCTGGGCGCAGTCCTGAGCGCCGCATTCCAATGTATGCGATGAAAGGTGCGAGTAGTCTAGTTGCCCCAAGGCAATCACGCAGGCATGGCAAATTGCACCCGAAGGGCGATATATCACTTTCGATTGGAAGTTTCGGGCAACACCTCTCGTGTGATAGCCAAACCAAGCCATCATGCATATGCGGGTCTGTACATGATAAGGATGCAAGGCCATCCGTGTGATAGGAAATTCACACAGCCTTAACCATGTGAAGGATTGAACCTATCGCATGTGTAGGGGCCGAACTCATATGTCAGAACCTGATCGGACAAGAACGGGAAGCGCCGCTGTAGTCAAATGGGCGTATTGGGCGAAAAAAGAAAAGGAAGGCGAGGACAACGAGGAGCCGATGACGAGGACGACGTGGCGAACGTGAGGATAGCGAGGAGGAGCATGAGGACAACGAGGAGGAAGAGAAGCACAAGGACGAGGACGAAGAGAACGAGGGCGAGTACGAGGAGGAATGCGGAGGGCGATGACGACGACGACGACGACGACAGAGGACAGTACGAGGCACTTGGAGAAAGACGTTGCTCCTGGCGCCGCGCGGGGTTCTCTTGGGGCCTGTTGGGGGCTTCTTGGGGGCCCCTTGGGTCCTCTTATGGGCTTCTGGGGTCTTCTTGGGCTGTCTGGGCGCGTCGTGGGGTTCTGTGGGAGCTTTCTTACGCCGTCTCGGCGCCGGGGGCCTCCTGGGACGCTCCCGGGAGTCTCTTGGGGCCTTCTTGGCCCTTCTTGGGCCGTCTTGGGGTTATTATGAGCTGTCTGGGTGGCTCCCAGAGAGCTCTTGGGGGTCTCTTGTGGTCTTCTTGGGGCGCTCTTGGGCGTTCCTGGGGCTCTCCGGGGCGTCTTTTGGGCCTCCCTTGGGCCGTTGGAAAACACTCCAAGAGCGATTCGAACACGACGTCGATGCGGAGTCCCCTCTTGGGCCGATTTTTGGAGGATGTCTCCGGAGAAACTGCCATTTTTCAAAAATCCGCCAGCGCAGTTTCCAAGTGCAGCGCGTGCCCGATTACTAATGTTTACCACCAACAAACGGTCCACGCCAGGGGCGCTTCCCGTCATCCGCCGGCCCCTTGGGGCCTCAGCTTCTGGAGCAGTCGTGAGCACAGAAGGGAGGGGCACGAACGGATTGGGAGACGAGCCCTTGTTATTGGGCGCTTCCTGGTTTTTTGATAGGTCCTTCTGGACCGTCTTGGGGCCCTGTTTTGGGGCCCTTGTGGGCTGTCTCGGGGGGCTCTGGCCGTCGTGGAGTTCTGCAGGGGGCTTCGTGGGGCTGTCTTGGGGCTTTCTTGGGAGCCTCTTGGGGCCGTCTTGGGCCGTCTCGGGGTTTTCTTGGGCCGTCTTGGGGTTATCTCGGACCGTCGTGGGGCTGTCTTGGGGCCCCTTTGGGGCTTTGTGGAGGCCTTTTGGGGGGGGCCTCTTGAACCGTTCTGGAGCCTTGAAAAACAAAGAAACGAGTATGGCTAGAAATGCGCGTTTTCTTCGGGAATGACACGATTTTTGCTTGTTTGGCGTTCTCTTGAGGCTCTTGGGGGCGTCTTGGGAGTTCCTCTTGGGCCGTCTTGGGGCTGGTTGGGGGCCTTTTTGGGCGTTGTGGGAGTCTCTGGAACTGTCGCTGAGCCATCTGAGGCCGTCTTGGACCGCTCTTGGGCCGTCTTGGAACCGCATTTGGCCTCTTTGGGGCCGTTTTGGGGGCCGCTAGGGCGCCCGGGGTGGTCAAAATTCGCTCGGTGTGTGGAGGTGCCCTGGGCCCCATAATAAATCAAGAGACATGTACTGACGCCTGGTGTATATATAACACACATATTTATTTAGATATGCATCTGCAAGACTGCGTTGGCGCTTCGCGCCACGCACCTTTGTCTTTCAAGCTTCGCATCTGGTCGCACTTGGGGTCATCCTCGTTGGCCTTTGAAGTTCGGCCGTTTCTTTCCAAGTCCCCTTTACCCGTTCCTTGTTCGCTCTCGCTTTCGATTTACACGTTCGTGCGCCACCCGAGTTTTCTTGGAGCGGTTGAGTCGAATTTCGATCGAGGCGGATCCGTTGACGTGGTGACGAGAACGTCACCCGGAGGCCCCGAACAGAAAAGGTTGCACCACCATCGCATGTTTTCTTTCCTTGGTTCCTGCGCCGGCTGGTGTTGTAACGGCCTGCGCGTCGATTTTGACACTGCTTGGATCATTCAGCCGTGAAGGATCGCGCATTCCCATTCAAGACTGGCCGATTCCTGACCATTGGCCGCGTTCATTCCGAACGCCCGCGCCGGTTTCGCCGCCGCACCGACACGACATAAACCTACGGCTATGGAGGAACAGTTGTTTCTTCGGGGTCGTTTTCTCCACGCCTGCATATTTTTTTCAGGCCCTCCGGGTTGCGGCGGCACTTGGAGGTCGACATTGAACCAGAATTTCCGAATATTGCAGAAGCTCCAACCCTCTCCTGCGCGCCCCGCCACTTCCCCGCCACCGCCAACGCTGGCTCGAGGCCTCCAGCGCACCCCGCCACTCCCCAACCCTCCCCAACTCGCGCCCCGTCACTTTCCCAACCCGTCCACAGACGACGCAGACAAGCGCGACGAAAATACCGCGGACCCTTAACGCTCCCCCCGATCTGGCAGAAATTGTGAAAGACGGGGGTATGTTCTTATCCATACGCTTCTGGTGTTCTACAGTGCTATTCTGGAAGATCCACGCATGGCGCCGGAGAAATGGAACAAGTCTGTCGTATCGGTGATACACGAAGCAAATGACCCGAAACTCCCTCAAAATTACCGGCAAAATAACAAGAACCCCAATACTATACAAACTGATCGCCGGCTTATTGCCCAACGGCTTGATCCTGTTCTGGGCAGAGAACAAGCGCCGGACCAGGCGGGCTTCCGCCGCGGCTACAACAAAGTGGACCACTTATGGGCGGCATCCCAAATACAAGAGAAAGCAAGATAATGCAATCTTCCGGTATGGTTCGCGGCGCTGGACTTCAAGAAGGCGATTGATAGCGTCGAGCACAAGTGGATTTGGAAGGCGCTACATAGGCAGGGGGTGAACCCCAGGTATATCCGTCTGCTTGCGCACTTGTACTCAGGCCAGACGGCGCGTGTACAAACAGACAGGACAAGCAAACCCTTCAACTTGCGACGTGGTACCTAACAGGGGGGCCCTCTCAGTTTGCTGCTCTTTAACGCCGTCCTTGAAGACATCTTCAGGGAACTGAAGGAGTCTTGGTCGCGCAATGGTTTCGGCCTGTCCCTCGGCTTTTCAGACGTCACGCTGCTATCGAATCTCCGGTTTGCCGATGACGCGTTATTGGTGGCACCATCCTATGCGAAGCTGAGAAAAATGTTGCGCAGCCTTGTCGACGCAGCTGGAGTCGGTTGAACTCCATCCAGACAAGACGAAGATCCGGAATAATATCAAGGCAGTTTATGGATGCGAATGGGATGCATATAGAGATTCTCCCACGCTCTGGCAGCGTCAAATATTTTGGGCGCGAGCTCACTTTCGACGAGCTGGACGACACCGACTTGGACAGCACAATATCCATTGGTTGGAAGGAATTTATGAGGTTTAAAGAAGAGCTAACATCCAGAGTGTATTCCCTGCACGACTGCCTCAAACTATTTGAAGCAGTTGTCAAGCCCACAGTGTTGCACGGGTCGGCAACGTGGACGATGACGAAATCCATGGGGCGTAAACTGTGGAGATGCCAAGGGCGCATGCTTCGCTTGCTCCTTGGGCACTGGAGGCGGCGCATCGAAGCGGATCGTCATGCCGATGAACTCGAGCCATGGGTTGACTGGGTGAAGCATGCGACGCGCGAGGCTGAGTCAAAAATGGAAGAGCGGCGACTTGACCGCTGGACGATTGCACAGAAGAAGGCGAAGTGGTCATGGACACAGAGAACGCAGCAGCTGAGCACCGACGAATGGACGAAGATCGTAGCCAAGTGGGAGCCGCCGCAGCAAACGGTCAGCTGCTCGAGATCTCACTGGCGACCGCGACGCCGATGGGCAGACGATCTTCAATCTTTTCTTCGAGAGAAAGGTTTCCACGGTTCTTAGTGTAATTTTTCTGGTGATTGGCTGAATTTTGCCAGCGAGTTCGTCGACTTCTGAGGGCTGCGGCCCCAGCACAGCGCCCCTCGCGGGTCGGCCGCCGGCCGGACTGCGTGCTCGTCTCTCGTCTCTCTCTTGGCTGTTGCGCCTCTTGCATGCCATGGGTATTTGCTCTGCTGTATTTTGTTTTTTCATTTATCGTGCCAGCGGCAATCTGCCACGATTATTCTGGGAGGGAGGAGGCATGGGACTATCCAGGTGAGGTGCGGGGTGACGCAAGGCTGCCCGTCCAGCATGCTGTTAATCGTTCTTGCAGCCGGTCCACTTCTTCGTGGAATCCAAGCGTCTCTGCCTCGACGTACCGATCGATCGGATCTTGGCCTGCGCGGGCGATTTTTGCTTCGGCATGGTGAACAGTTTCTCGTCCCAGGATCCCATGTTGCACAAACTGAGTTTGTTTGAGAAAACCGCTGGCCCCAGACTGAACAACAGGAAATGTCAAATCCTGCTCGTTGGTGAGATCGGCCCAGACTTTGTTCGCGCCTCTGTTGCCGCCCTCAGGGGGGACTTTAAGCGCCTGCAAGTTGACAAGCATGTGAAATACCTTGGCAACACTATCGGCCCGCTTGCTCATCAGAATGCGTGGAGCGAGGCGCTCCTGAAGTTTCGTGCTCGCGCGGGCGTTGCTCGTCACCTGTGGCTGGGGCTTGCGAGATCTATTGCTGCGTTCCGTGTGATGCGCTTTCCGGCCCTCAGTTTCATTCTCCAATGGCACCCTGTGCCAGAAACGTTGATGAGTTGCTACCGTGAGTCAGTGATGTCCCGCACGGCAGGGCCACGCAATGCGTTCAGTCACGCCTTCTTGTGCCCAATTTCGCCAGTTTCACCTCCCCATTGAGTTGCAAGGTCGCATTTGCCTCTCTCGTGTGGCACGTTTAAGGTACATGATTAAGAATCCCATGATGGGGGCGGTGTTTGAGCACATTCGGGATCTAGAGCAGGATGAGGATCATGTCATGTATCGTGTGCGGCGTGGGTGGTGGAAGACGAGCTTTCTGTTTTATACGCGCTCCTTGTATTGCTGGTTCGACAGTATTCCTTCTTGACCTCAACGTTGAGACGGACAAGCTGCATGTTCGTCTGTACGAATGGTTACTTTCGCGCTGTCGGAGTCGTGAACACCCACGCCGGATTCTCTGTCGTCGTATTGCTGCAAGGCTTACACGCGTGACTCTGGAATATATGGACTGTTTATTTTTGAATTCGTTTTGTGCCATCTCGAAGACACAGCCGCATCTTCTAGCGGGAACCTTGCTCTTCTTGTGCCAAGGACTTTATGTGCGTCCAGGAGATTTAAGGCCCGCTCTGCTGGCTGTGTTTGGGATGCCCAGACGGTGACGATAAAGATCTTGACTCTGTTGGGCACTACTCCTGTTGTCCCCGTCTCGCTTCTCTATTCAAAACATTGGCTCGGTCACTTATTTCGTCGCCATGGTTTCCTGAGGGTTCTCCCTGGCTCCTCCCCTTCCTCCTGCTTTCACCGTCGCCGATGTCGTCGAATGTTTTGTTTTCAGCTTGTGTTGATGCTTTGATTTCGCTTCATAACTGCCGCCGTCTGGGCATCCCATGCAGCCCCGAACAGCACTTTGTAGCTCGCCTCCGCGTCACCTTTGGAGACATAAGTTTCTCGCGTGTGCCTGGCGTCGTCAGGCCGCAGTGTTTTTCTCCTCCCCTCCTCCTCCTCTGCCTGGTGCTGTGCTTGAGTATGCTCCTGCTGGTTGCGGGCCCGCTGGCCCTCCCCGTGGCAGCCGTCACCAGGCGGGCTCGAGAGGCCGCTGGACCAGCGGTTCCATTTTGGGTGCTGCTTCACAGCGAAGCAGCGAATGGCCGATGCAGAATCCTTCGCAAGAGCGTTCAGGGCCCCCCCTCTGGGGATCAGGGATGGAAAAATATCACCCCACTGCCTCTTGGGCAGTCTCGGACGCTTGGGAAACCGTAGAGCCGATTATCCCAAAATCGCAAAACAAAAACAATAAGACAATCAGCGTTTGGAGGGCCTCTTGCTCTGTGGCTCTTCTTCGGGCGTCTCTGGGGTGTTCGGGGCCGCTTGGAGCTTTCGCGGGGCCGTTTGGTCAGCCGCCTGACCGTTCTGCGCCCGTTGGCTAGGCCCGGCAGGGGTGTCCAGAAGGCCCGGAAGGCCGCGGGATCTTCGTGCACAGGCGTCCAGGGAATCACCCAGGCCAGGGATTGGTTTTGTTCGGGGGGGACCGGACGAGAGAGAAGAGAGAGAGAGAGAGAGAGAGAACGAGAAAAAGAGCGAGAGAGAGAGAGAGGAAGAGAGAAAAAGAGCGAGAGAGAGAGAGAGAGACAGAGACAGAGAGAAAAGAGAGAGAGAGAGAGAAGAGAGAGAGAGAGAGAGAAAGAGAGAGAGCTAACATATTGGCAGGGGAGAAGCAGGCTGACGATGACGCACGCCCAGGCGGGAGGCCAGGGTTTGCGGCGGGCCGGGGGGCACAAAGGGAAAACAGCAGGCGGAGAGCAGGGAAGGAGAGGGCGAGGGAGATGCGGGGAAGCTGGGCAAAACGCGGAGCAGCCGCAGGTGAGCGAGCAGGGCCAGGAGACGATATAGAGGCCGTGTGCTTGGAGAGCAGAGCGGCTGGCGACGAAGGGAGGGAGGGATAGAGAAGAGGAGGAGAGCAGGAGGGGGGAGGGGGTGACGATAATTGCATTGTCATGACGGCGACAGGGCTCCAGGCTTGGCCCTCTACAGGATTCGCCATCTGGCTCTACCTTGTGGATTTGTCCCGCCGCCCCAGAGGCGATGATGTGCGGGTGCCCGGCCGTGATGCCCTATTGCCCGGTCTTCGACGAGATTTGGGACGGGAAGACTCCCAAGGACGGATGGGAAATTGAGTTTTCACGCCGACAAAGTGTTGTCGAAGTAGATGGGGTCGGAGGATCGCGGCGTATCGCCGATGTATCGGCGATAGCGCTCGATTCGGAACCCGAATCTCTCCATCCCGACTTCAGCGATGCATTGCGGATGCATCGGCGATGCGGCGTGATCCTCCGACCCCGTCTGCGCGGACATCAATTCGGCTGCCTCCAAGTTGTTAGCAAGTTCTGGTATAGTCATCAGTTCAGCTTGTCATTGTATCGAACTTTGCTTGGGTTATATGAAGAATCATGCCTGGGGTGCACCAGCCAGCGAATTTGTCAGCAATGGCAGCGACGACCATATTACGCCAGGAGACATGGACACGCCCGCCGCAAGCTGCGGCCGCGCGCTCCCACTGCGACGAGTGGACACCGGCAGCGGCGTCACCGCCTCCTCGTTTTTGGGCTGCTTCTGCTTGTGTGCTCTCTTTCCCCCCCGGGCAGCGTGCTACATTCTTACGCCCCAGCTCACGGCGACTGCCCCGCGACGGACGCGCACGAGCCTCTCCAGCTCTCTCGCCATCGGCCTGGCCTGTCGGGGCCAGCGGCGGTCAGGCCTGGCGGTACGCCATTCACAAGGAGAATGGGGTGGACTTGCCTGGGCTCTCGTCGGCGATCGCGGAGGCTGGAGTCCCGCTGCCCTTCCGCGCGTGCTTGCGCCGCCCCCGCGCGCCGCACCGCGCCCCGCGGCGGGGGAGTCCTGCCTGCCCAGATGGGGCCCGAGCAGATGGGGTCGGAGAGGGTCGCGCCGGCTCGCCAGCACATCGGCGATGGTGCATCGATGGTTCGGCTGCACCCTCCGACCCCATATCTACTCGGGGCCCATCTGGGTGGCCTCTAGGAAGGGGGGCGTCGGCAGGTGAGGGCCCACGCGCGAGGCCAGAGCGGCTGGAAGCAGCTCGAAAACGGTCCAGGGTGTTTCTCATCGTGCCCCCGGCTGCACGCAGCCCGAAAAGTCTCGCAGCACCTCCGCCCCATTTGAGACGGTTGCGCCCGTAGCTTCACGCGCGGTTGTTGTTTTGTCCTGCCTGAAACATGTCATGCTTACGATGTAACAGATCTTCATGATATCTGCGACTAGGAGTGGGCCGCCAAAACGAGGGAAGGGCACAAGCTTGCTTTCAGAACATGTGTATATCCAAATGGGTGTTTACCCAGCTACCCCCCCTCGTTAGATAATGCGTGGCCTTTGTCATCACACAGTGTTTGTTTGCAGATGCTGTGGGGCCTCGCCGAACGTCCGCATGCGTTGTTCTTTCGATGTGTCTTGCGAAGGCCCCAATGATCATCTGGAGTCCACGCTGCAGTGGCCCCCGCTTACCATGCGGAACCCTCGGGCAATCCAAGAATACAGCAGCCCCAATGAGCGTCCCCGTTCCTGACATGGTATTTACGTCAGCAACTGCGATTTTACGTTGTTGACGGGACGGTTATGGAAGTAGCGGGGACTTGCGCCGGTTTTTTAATGACAGGAGCATGTGCTCCCTACCATCCCGTAGTGTTGGGCAGCGCCCCGCGTTCCTCCTGTTTCTTCTTCTTCTTCTCCTCATCATCATCCTCATCATCCCCCTCCTGCCCCTCCCATCCCTGCCACTGCCCTCCGCATGTCCACCATTTCAGCGCCTCCAGTACAACGTTGCGTAGCCCCATAGGGAGCTCTACCGCAGGCCCCAGTGCCTGTGATCACATGCGTCCTGCGCCACCTAGTGCGGCGTTTTGTGTCCCCATGGCCCCGCAGGGGGCTGCACCCAAGGCCCCAGTGGCTGCGACCATATTCTTATAACGCGACTCAGTGCGGCGTTTCGATGCCCCATGGGGACCGCCGAGGGCTCCAATAGCTGTGACCAGATGCGTCCCGCGCCACCCAGTACGGCGCTTCATGGCGCCATGGGGAGCTCCAGCGAAGGCCCCAGTGGCTGTAACCACATGCGTCCCGCGCCATCCAGTGCGGCGCTTCGTGGCGCCATAGGGAGCTCTACTGAAGGCCTCAGTTGCTGTGACCACATGCGTCCCGCCCCCACCAGTACGGCGCTTCGTGGCCCCATTGGAGCAACGACAAGCACGACGACGACCCGACGGCCCGACGACCGACGACTGACGGAACGACGACGACGAGCACGCTGCACGACCGGACGGCCGCCGCGACTGCCTGGCCCTGGCTCCTGTCAGGGCGCGCGCGGCACCATCCCCCCATTCCCTCCGCCGGCGCGCGCGTTTGAGCCTCGCTGGCGGCGGCTCCCTGGGGAGCGCCCGCGCTCCGCCGCCGCCGACGTCGTGCTCGTCGTCGCCGTGAGGCAGAACACAGCCTGAGGGAAACTACGTCGTCCTGGAGGTGTTTGGGCCGTTGCGGGTTCCTGGGGACTTCCCTGGGCCCGAGGCCGCCAAAAAAACAATTCAGGGTGAAGAGTAGGTCTTTGGGGAAGGCCTCTGGGTCCAGGACCCGCGTTTCATCAGGATCCGCTTCATTCATGCCAATCGGCCTCGTGCTCGTCGTTGTCTTTGTCGCCAGCGCGCTCTCTGCTTTCGGCTTTAATTGCCGTTGCTTGGGTCGCCCACGAGGGCGCTTCCGCACCGGGTGCCTCGCGATCTGGACTGGGTATGTGTTCTTCTCCAGTTGGCTGGCGGCGCGAGATCGCGAAATCTGGACTGGGTATGTGTTCTTCTCCAGTTGGCTGGCGGCGCGAGATCGCGAAGATGAGGGCGTTTCGCGTATCGCGTTGCTCAATGCGCAAAACCCGAATTCGGGTTACCCAGGTCGCCTCGCAGAAGGATAGATGAGGAGAGGGAGGGTAGCAGCAGGAAGAGGAGTCCAGGAGGAGGACGACGAAAAGCACAACGGTGAGCTCGATGACGAGTCGCTCACGGGAACGACGACGACAACGACGGAGGAACAAGAGGAGGGAGGGGGAGGGCAGGCAACGCGGCCCTCAATACGTACAGCGTGCGGCAGCAAAGGGTTGAGGAGGAGGAATTGGGGAGAGGTGAGAGGAGGAGCGTGGGCGGGAGGAGGAGCAGGATGAGGACGAGGAGGAGGAGGAACAGGATGAGGAGGAGTAGCAGGATGAGGAGGAGGAGAAAAAGGAGGACGACAAGGGATCGCCCCCTCCCTCTGGAGGATGTGGAGGGCGGGAGGGACTCCTCCCTCCTTCCTCTTCTTCTCCCTCCCCATTCTGCCTCCTGCTTCTGCTTCTTCTCCCTCCTCCTCGTCCCTGTGCCCTCATACCCGTGCCCCCTCCCTCTTCTTTCCTCGTCTTCGATACAGTCGAGAAGGAGCAGCGAGAGAGAGAGAGAGAGAGACAGAGAGAGAGAGAGAACAACAAAAAGAGAGGGGAAAAAGGAAGGGGAAGAGGGAAAGAGGATAACACGTTCACAGTCATCAGGCAGCACGCGCGTGAAAGTAACAAAATAGCAGGCAGACAGGCCTACAGCTACGAAAGTTGCAACTTGCACACCTGAAAACACGTAAAGGGCTCAATCGGTCGGGGCCGCCACGTCGCCCCAGAATGGCCGTGGACCCGAGTGGCGGCAGACAGCCAAGTCCGCGACCTTGTGATAGGGGTGGGGTCGGGTGACTGCGGCCGCACGGGGGGTCTGGTAGACACACAGTGTAAAACTACACGGGCGGTAACCATGCACGATAAAAAAAGGGCAGGAGCAAGAGGACAAGGGGACAAAGGGGGAAGGGAGGAGACGGAGGCTCCACAGCACGGCCAGCATCAGAGGTTGAACATGCCCTGCTCCAGAGTATATTGCTCGTGACCCCACTTCTCATATCCACTGCCAGTCGGCGCAGACGTCGGATAGATAATCGGCGCAGGCGTCGGATTCAGAAGCGACACGCGCGACGGCATGGGGGTAGGCGCAGGCGTCGTCGGGCCCGTAGGCACGATAGGTTGCACCATATTTTTGTTGCCGGTGTTGGTTCTGGAGTCGGTGCTGGGGCGTCGATGCTGTTGGAGTCGAAGTCGGTGCCAGCGTCGATGCTCAGGTGTCGATGTTACTGGCGTCGGTGCCAGCTTCGGTGCCGGCGTCGATGCTGCCGGCGTCCACGTTGCCGGAATCGCCGTTGGCCTCTGTGCCGGCGTCGATGTTGTTGGCGTCAGTGCCAGGGTTGGTGTTGGGGTCGATGCTGCTGGCGCCAGTGATAGTGCCGTTGTCGCTTCTGCTGGCGTCGTTGCCAGAGTCGATGCTAGTGTCGGTGCCTGCATCGGCGCCAGAGGCGATCCTGCTGGCATCGGTGCTGGGGTCGGTGCCCACGTCGGTGCTGGCATCGATGCTGGCCTGTGGGCTGGAGTCGGTACTAACGCCCATGCTGGGCTCTGACACTCCTCCTCGTGCGTTCCTTCTGCCACTCACTCCGCATTCGTGTGCGAGGCGGTGGAACAGTTCATGTCGCTGTGTGCACACAGCTTAAACATTGTCTCGAGGCTATTACTGTCTGACTCTTACTCCCTCTCTCTCTCTCTCTCTCTTTTTTGTTCTCTCTCTCTCTCTCCTTCTCTCTCCTTGGCTCGTATTGGATCTGCAGCTGCTCGTCCACGACGGTCGGCTTTCATTTTGGTTGGTGTAAGACCTGACGCTGCGTTTGGTCATCGCACCGCGGCGCTTCACCCGGGAGGTGGCAGCTGCTTGTGGTTTGTTCGCTGGGGGGGATCCCCCTTCTTACCTCGTTCTTCCTGCTTGCTCATGTCACTCCCCCTCCTCCTCCCTACCTCATCAGTTCCCTCCTCCTCCTCCTCCTACTCTTTCTCCTCATCCTCCTTCTCCTCCTCCTTCTCCTCCTCCTTCTCCTCCTCCTCCTCCTCCCTCCTCTCCGTAGCCGAATTGGCTCAAGTCACCATGTCGCGCTGCGGCCGCACGGAAACCTCTGGGCCGAGGACAGTCTCCAGTTTTTCGCGCCACTCCAGGGGCCCCGTGCCAGCCCGACTCTTTCCATACTTAAGTCCTGCGCTGTCGCAGGCACTCCATATCCAAAGACCAGCCTGGCGCGCCTCGCTGCTGGCATCCATATCCTGATCGTTCTGTTCGCCCTCAGGCAGCTGTCGGTCCAAGCGTTGGCGCCACTACTACACGCCCGTCCTAGTGCTCCACTGTGGGCAGGACGCGCTGGTTTCGAGTCGGATCTCATCACTGGGAACAGGCACATCAGCTGTCCCTTCGCGCAGGCACAATGCCTGCCTCCAGCAGCAGCTCGCCCTCCTCCGACGGTGCTCGAAGACCTAATCATCATCCCCGTGATCGTAGACGGCAAGACAATAGTCACTCCAAGAGCAGGAGCGGAGGCGACCGCAGTGGATTTACACGTGCACACAGCCATCGACGACACCGCGGCCGGCAAGATATAGAGATATGGGACGGCAACAGAGAACGTGATCGTGGACCTGAAGGACATCGTGAGGCAGACCGAGCACCACCGCGAACATGTGGTCCATCAGCTCCACGTCCAGACGCCCTGGCTGAACGAGACCCCTGGAGAGCTGCAGCGGCTGACCAACGCAGGAACTAGCGGAGGACCTGTTCGGCCTCGTGGACCTGAACACATTCTTCTCTCGCCACGTGCCAGACGTCAGGTGGCAGAAGATTTGGAAATGCTTCCCACGTTTCCTGAAGGTGAGCTTCCAGATGCTGGCACACCGATTGGTGGCTTACTAACCCCACGAGATCATGATGCTCCTCCTCTGCTTGTCGACATTCCTCAACTGGAACAAATGCTGGCGGCATTGGGAAAGGAGCAAGTCGCGACGGCGACGGCACAACTCATGGCAACGGCAAATTCTCCCATTGCTCAACAACAGCACCTAATCAACGCACAGGTGCACGAGTTCCTGGCATCCAGCAAGCAGAACGCGTCACATCTCGAGGTGCATGGCAAAAACGCACGCGAACTACAATCTCGAACAGACAAGGTGGAGTCATATCAACAACGAATGCGACAACTCATTCATGCGATGGAGCAAATTTTGGCTATGGCAGAAGCGGCAGTCCCCTTCGACGTTCAGGAGCTTGCGACATGGGACCGGGTCCCAGTTCCTACAGCGGCTATCAGGACGGCGCTGGCTGAATGGATACATGCTTCTGGTGTACTCGTTGATGAACTTATTCTTCATGGTGACGTGCCTGAACGACGCATTCACTTGCAAGTTCAGGCGGCGCAGCTGCCCCTGCCCGAGCCCTGGCACTCTCTCGAGCACTCAAGACACCCGATGGCTTCCGCACATTCAGTGGCTTCGGCACAGGAGGTGCCAGTACCCCTGTATACGTCAGTGCCGACAAACACGCCAAGCCGGTCAGGCTGGGCCGGCCACAACGTCGGGGCGCAGCGAGCCAAGGGCATCACCACTTTTGATGCAGTACCGCTCGTGGTCGTTGGAGTTCAAAGACCAGAAGAACCATCTAAATTACGATGGGGCGTGCCCATCCTCGCCCGCTTCAAGATTGGCAAGCAACCATTGGTGGCTGCATTTGGACAGGCGTTCGCTAGCGTGGATGCGTCTACGTGGTCTATTTAGCAGACGATGGTTACCGTGGACTTCGCTTCAGGAGCGGCGCATGCGAAAGAGAGCGGCGATTCTAATTCAAGAGCGCAGAGGGACGCTGGATAAGCTGACCGCTGCGCTGGCGACCTACCCGTGCCCGTACAAGATCTGTTTCAACGCTCTCTCACAGAAGGCTGGCGGCGCTGCGTTCCTGGCTCCAATGGATGTTAGAGGCCAAGCTGACCCGCGCGTTCGATTTCAACATCAGATGTTAGCTCCTAGAAGGATCGTTCTCCACGCCATCGCAAATTATAATGACAACTGCACCATGAACATCATGAGCGTTTGAACGTTCACAACTTCGAGCTGGATAACCGAGCGCAGGACAAGGCACGGGCTTAATGGAGGGAGCTTGCCGAATGGAACCTTCAAGACCCCAGTGCGAAAACACTTCTGGCTGCTGGTGACTTCGATACCAAGTCGGGTCCGACGCGCAGCTACGTGGACCCCGTCGCAAAAAGGCTTCATCCCTGGCTCTGTTCCAGCTGAACGCAGTCGGGAATCTCAGTCCCTGCAATCATTTTGGGAACGCCCTTTCTCCGCGCCCATTGAATGTCGACTGATTGCCCCACGCGCGGTTGCAGGGGTGCGGCGGCCGCAGCCACATTGGATCGTGTCTTTACTGGGCCTCCAGCTCACTTCCTCCTAGATGTCGAAGTCTTAGCGAAGGTTGACATTGACGCGACCGCCATCTCTGACTCCAGGCTCAGTGTCCACGCGCCGATCGTTCTTCACCTTCGCGACCGTGCTCGGCATGACCAACAGGCCAGCATTCCTGAGCACTTCTTTCGTGACCCACGCTGCGGGGAGATCTTGTGGCAACTGCTCGATGCGGCTCAGCTTGATCGGTTTCCAGTTGTGTACCAATGGCGATGCATGGTATATTTCGTGACGGAGGCTTCTCGTCAGGTTCGCGGCGAACTTCAGCGACTTCCGATCTCGGCCAAGGACTCCCACGCCAAGGGAGGTCGCGTCCTCACCCTGAGAGCAATATCAAGCTGCATCTGGCGCAACGAAATCTGCGCGGCCCAGAAGTTGAAGGCCACCGCCGACGACGGCGCGCGCTTCCCCCGCGTGTCCAACGGCGCCGTCGAGCTCCCCGACAGGCAGGAGTTTGCCCTCATCGTGCACGCCGCCAACTACGAGGTCGGACAGATGGAGGCCAGACTTGCTGAAAGCAGGGCGTCCACAGGGGAGGGGGCGGTGGCCGAGGATGAGAGACGTGCTGCAAGGATGCGCAGGGGGCGCGCAACTTTCTGGGCCCCCAAAGCCCATTGTCTCGTTCTCGTAGGGATCCGACCCGAATGCCTGCGAGAGCCCCCGGCTGCGGCCTGGGATCCTCAGCAGATTGCATCCGCGCGGACCTCCCATTGGGAACCATCTTCGGCGCCGAAGCAGCTCAGGAGAAGGCCCTTCAGGGGTGCCTCGACAAGGTTGCCCCTCAGCAAGACCTCCTACCCCTTAGACTTCCAACTGAGCCTGGACTGGGGCGCGCCCTCAAACTTGCCCGGCGGCCAGCACCTGGCCCCGATCAGCTTTCGTTCGCGGCGTGGAAAGCAAGACCCGTGCAACCTACTGTCCTGCATGAACGAATGTCATATCGGTACGGAGGACACGCGGCGCCCCTGGAGCTTAATGATCGCCTCTTCGCTTTTCTTCCCGAAGGTGCGGAACCCGAAGATGCCCGGGGGCGCGCGTGGTCCCCAGGGGAGGTTCGGCCGCTTAGCCTCGGCAACACGGGCGCTGAGATCGTGGCATCCGCCGCCAACTTCCAGATCCGTCAGGTTGCCCAAGAGCGTACCCATGAGGCCCAACAAGGATTCATCCCAGGACGTAATTTCTTGCCCAGCATCATCGCGTTCTACGCCGAGGCCCGCAAGGCCAGCATCACCCCCGAAGCGGAGGGGGACCTCCCGACCTTCGCCGCCCATGATGCGGGGGCGGCGTTCCCGCCTCTGGGCCACCAGTGGTAGTCCGATATTATGAGTAGGATTGGGCTTCCGCCAGGTTTCCTGAATTTTATCAACGCGTTATACTTTTTACCCCGAGGCTTTGCTAAGTAAGATTCAACATCGAACCGTTGTCCTATTGCATCTCTGCTCAGGGGTCTTGCAGGGGTGCCCCTAATCTGGTTCTCTCTGGGCTCTTGTAATGGACCCCATCCTGAGATGCCTGCGCGCGGCCACGCAGCTCCCGCAGGCGAGGCGCCACAAGGGCTCTCTCGGGGTTTGTGCTGACGATGTCAGAATGGTGATGCCTCGCCTTCGAGACCTGGTTGGTGTTTCCCGTTGTTCTGGAAGTAGAGCGCTTTGCCTTTCTCAGGCTCCAAGGGGGCAAATGTGTCCTGGCCCCATTGTGGACCGAGTGCGCGGAAGCTGCCCAGGACAGGGTCCGCAACGAGCTCTGTAAGTGGATCCCGCAGTGGGCCAACTTTCAGATCGCTGGCCGCCACGCTTAGCATTATCTGGGCTACCGCAGCGAAGAAGTGGTGGTCGAGGGCGATTGCTCTGCCATGCTCTGGAGCTGGTCCGTCTGTTCTTTCAATCAATTCTGCACAACGCTACCGCTCTCTCGGCCCGCTCGTACCTCGCCCAACTGTTTCTCATCCCTGCTATGATTCGCAAACTCGAACATCAGGAAGCTGCTCAGGCTGCCGCCGAACAGCCTCAGTCTTGCTGATCTGAACGCTCTGCCATCTGTGCTCGCCATTGCCCCGTCCTCTGTCTCTTTGCTTGGATGAACTAGCAGTTGGCGCACCTCTTTTCGCATTCTGAATCATACGTGGCAGCGTGCGCTGCGCAGTTTGAAAGAATATGCCCAATACAATGCCACGATAGTTCGCTTCATTGCAGGAAAATATCCAGCGCCCCGCTGGAAGCGCCCATTCTCAATCGCACAATTCATGGAGCGGGCGAGGCTTCCACCCCCCCTTTTTCCCTCACAAGTCAGGATGGCAAGCAGCGTTTCGCGCAGCGCGTGGTCACGCCAGACTAGCCATCCAGGAAGCCCGTCGCCCGCACCCAAAGCGCATTTTTGCACGCACGTTTCGAGCTGCTGCGTTTCCTGGCTCCTTTCCTTGTGACATTGGGCACAGGGCTTCTCGCGCGGCAGGTCCCGATTCCTGGGGGGCGGGGGTCCGTGGTCGGACGGTGGGATCTCTGTCGGACCTGCATCGCAAGAGTCTCAAGCCTGCCTGGCAATGGGGTATTATCAAGACCCTCGGCGGCGCGTGGACGACCGCGCATAGACTGCACATAGGCAACGCCCCCACGAGCTGCTTTTGGGGCTGCGCAAAGCCTGACGAGATTGCACACTACCTGTGTTGCTCGAGAATGTATCACCATCTTGCACTGCACCCTGCGTGGAGAAGGCGCCACTTTCCAGGCTCACCGATTGTACTGTTAGGACTGGGGGCGGCGTCTGACTACGGGCGGGCGGGGCCGGAATTCTCACGTGAGGAATGCTTTAAGGCAGCATATGTATCACAAAGCGAAAGGCTTCGCTCAGAAGACTCCGATGTCTCTGGAGCGCGCATGCGACATTCGAGGTGCGGCAGAAGCGGCATTCGAGCGGTGAGATGCTCTCATCGACATTGCGTTCTGTTTGTCACTCTACTCCATGGGTGGTCGATTTGCCAAGTGGTGGGACGTGGGGTGGGGGGGGATCGTTCGACGTTCCAGTGGCGGCGGCATGTTGCGGTCGATGAGTCTCCCGCAGTGCCTTGTGCTACTCTTATTCCACCTATTTTTCTTTCTTGCCCTCGCATGCGAAGCCTGTCTTTAGCTTCTGGCCTGCTTCGAGCACCATCTTTTTGTGTGTCCCGTTGGTGGCGAAAGTGGCAAAGGGTTGCGACGCCCTTCGGGAGGCCGACAAACAGAACCCAAACGCCACCCAGCTGGGACCCACTATCCTTCCGTCGATGCGTTTGCGTCGACCGAGGTCGAGGCCGGTGGTCGGACGGACCTTTTTGGCACGTCGTCTCCTCCTCCCTCCTCTCCCCCTTCCCCTCCTCTTTCCTCCTCCCTTCTCTCTCGTCTCCTCTACTCTTCCTGCCTCCTCGCTCCTCCACCCTCTTCTTCTATTTTCTTCTTCTATGCTCCTCCTTCTCCCCCTCCTCCCCCTCGTCCACAGCCGCGACTGCCCGAACCCGAGCGAGGACCCGGGCACTCGCGCGAGCGCGCGCCCTGCCAGGCATTTGCCGTGGCGCAGGAGGATCGGTCGCGAGCCGTGCGCGCACAGGCTTGGGCCCAGAGATGAGCCCAGACCTCCCCGCGGCGCGCAAAGAACGCGACGGACAGCTTTGGGTTGTTTTCGGTTTCTGAGGGCCCTCACTGGGCCCCGGGACGTTCAAAAACGAAAATGTGTCTAAACCTCCAGGGGGCCACGGCGTGAGAAACAAAAGGCAAGACGTTGGAGGTCTAGGAGGTTTGAGATTTGTTCCAACCATCCTGTGGTGATGGGTCGTCGCTCTGAACAGACAGCGCCCCGCGTCTCTTTCCTTCCTCCTCCTTCCTTCTCCTCCCGCTCCCTCCTCCCTCCTCCCGTTATTTCATCTGCCCTTCACATGTCCCTGCTTCGGCACATTCCTCCCACGTTTCGTGGCCCCATAAGTAGAGATCGCCACCGAAGGCCCCAGTGGGAGGGTCATGCGGCTCGCCGCCCATTTCGGCATACTCGTAAGACGGCTCGTGGCCTCACAGTGATGTCCACCGAAGGCCCCATTTGGAGGGTCCACATGCGGTTTCGGAACTTCCGTGATACGTGACGTGGCCCCGTATGGAGGTATACCGGAGGCCCCAGTGGGAGGGTACGACAGCGATTCCCCGCAAATTTCGGCACACCCCTCACACGTTTGATTGCCCTTCAGGGAGGTCCACCGAAGGCACCAGTGGGAGGGTCCATGCGGCTCCCCGCCCATTTCGGCAAACCCCTTCACATTTTCCGTGGCCCCCATAGTGAGCTCGTCCGAAGGTCCCAGTGTGAGGTCCGCATGCGGCTCCCCGCCCATTTGGGCACCCCACAACCTGGTTCGTGGCTCTATAGGGATCACAACAAACGGCCCCAGAGGGAGGGTCCACCAGCGGTTCTCCGTCCATGTCGGCACACCCCTCACACGTTTCGCGGCTCTACAGTGAGCTCCACCGAAGGCCTCAGTGGGAGGGTCCACATGCGGCTCCCCGCCCATTTCGGCACACCCCTCGCACCGTTCGTGGCTTCATAGGGAGCTCCACCGAAGGCTCCAGTGGGAGAGTCCATATGCGGCTTCCCGCCCACTTCGGCACACCCCTCACACCCTTCGTGGCTTCATAGGGAGCTCCACCGAAGGCTCCAGTGGGAGGGTGCACATGCGGCTCCCCGCTCGTGCCCGCACACCCCTCGCACATTTCGTGGCCCCGTAGGGAGCTCCACCGAAGGCTCCAGTGGAAGGGTGCACATGCGGCTCCCCGCCCATGTCGGCACACCCCTCGCACATTTCGTGGCCCCATCGGGAGCTCCACCGAAGGCTCCAGTGAGATGGTCCACATGCGCCCCCCCGCCCATGTCGGTACACCACTCACACGCTTCGTGGCTCCATCGGGAGCTCCACCGAAGGCCCCAGTTGGCGGGTCAACATGCGGCTCCCCGCCCATTTCGGCACACTTCTCAAACGCTTCCACCGAAGGCTCCTGTGGGAGGGTCAGCACGCGGCTCCCCGCCCATGTCGGCACAGCCCTCAGACGTTTCGTGTTCCTATAGGGAGCGCCACCGATGACGATGTTCACAACCTCATTACCCACAGCTGCAGATGGTTGGGTCATTCGCAAGCATACTTTCCCGGATTGCTCATCTTTGCTAATCTCTGGGCGCGTTCGCAGGTTGACGTGGGGGTCTCTAGCGAAGTCCTCCAGAGACCCCTGGGGACGGGTTAGCGTCCCTCTCTCATCTCCTTCTCTCTTCTCGGAGGCCAGAGAGTAAGCGCCACCACCAGCCCTGGCCAGACACATCCTGGGCCTTGGGCAAGTGAGCGTATACGCACTCGCGGCTTGGCTGAGGGGGAGGACGATGTGGCCCAGGCCACGGCTTGTGGCGGTGTGCAGTGGCTGGTTTTCAGATTTTAGTGTTCCATGGCTCAGCCTGCTTGTTCTCCTCCTTCCCGTTGCTGCTCCTCCCGCTCCCCACTCCTGCTGGTCCTGTTTCTGCTGTTGCGCCTCCTCATCTTCCCCTCCTGGATCATCAGTATCCTGCTCCTCCTCTTTTCCCCCCTCCCCCCCCGGTTCCTCACCCACCTCTTCTTCCTCCCCTTTCGCATCCCCCTCTTTCCTATTATCCTCCCCTCCTGCTTCGTCTCTTTGTTCCTCCCCTTCCCCTTTCATGAGGGCCGTCGGGATGAAGGGCGTCAGCAATGAGTCATCGAACACGGACATGATGCGCCAGCATCAGATGAGAAAAGTCAAGGTGGTCGGCGACGGCATGAAGCACGAGGACGTAGACCTCATGGTATGCACAGACGTCGTTGACAAAACTCGAACCGCAGTGCTGAACGGCTGCTCCGATTATGCGGCTTTCCTGGATGTCCTCGACAAGAATCCGGATGACAAGTGCATGGTGTCAGACGTGGACCCGCAGTTGATCATGAAGGTTTTCTTCAAGGAGAAGGTGAATTTGTCGGCAGTGACTTTGCGCTTCAGCACCCCCCCCCGTAAAGGGGAGGAGGACGAGGAGGTGTATGCGAAGCCTCGGCTTATCAAGTTGTACACAGGAGCTTCTGTCGACGAGATGGATTTCTCCGATATAGACATAGCTGAACCAAAAGCCATTCACATTGTCGAGGGGGAGGACGAAACAGAGGCGTGCATATCATGCAGGGGTGGGAAGTTCCAGAGGTTGGAGTGCCTGGCCATCCTGATTGAGGAAGCCGCTGACGCGGACGCCACGCGGTCCTACGTCAATCGCGTGTGCATCAGCGGGCACCAGGCAGAGTCGTACCACGCGCATTACAAGTGAGGCGCCGCCAGGGAGAGCTGGGACCTCGGGCAGTTGAACAGCGCCCGCGACTCGGCCCGTGAATGCCGCGCGGCCTAGTGACCCAGTTGCTTGCGCAGCCGCCGTCGCCTCAAGGGAAAGAAGCGCAAGGAGGCAGTGCACGTGCAGCTACGCGTGCAACGCAGGGCTTTGCCCAGAGGTTTTCGGAGGGGTACATGTTTGCTCTGGCCTGCAATGGAGCTCCTGTTCTGTCCCTTCGTTTCCCCAGGACACCGGCACTCAATTATCGACGGTGCAAATTTGCCGCTGTTTTTTTGTAACACCTCACTTTCTTGCCCTGCTTGCAGGCAGCCTGTGGCAACACGGGGTACGTGGGGCCAGGGGCCCACCTCCAACCCGAACACGGGGCACACCACCAACACAAAGCATATGTGCAAGAGCGGACGGGGGAGAGAAGGCAAGAACGGACGGGGGGAGAAGGATGAGGATGATGACAAGGAGAGAAGGATGATGATGACGAGGATGATGATGATGATGATGACGAGGATGATGATGATGATGATGATGATGATGATGATGATGATGATGATGATGATGACGATGATGATGATGATATGATGATGATGATGATGATGATGATGATGATGATGATGATGATGATGATGGTGGTGGTGGTGGTGGTGGTGGTGGTGATGATGATGATGATGATGATGATGATGATGATGACGATGGTGGTGGTGGTGGTGGTGATGATGATGCTGATGATGATGGTGATGAGGAGGAGGAGGAGAAGGAGGAGGAGGACGTACACGAGATAGGAGGGGGAATGAGGATGACAATTATATTTTGGAGGAATGGATCAGTAGGTTGAGCGCGTGGTAAACAAAAACAACAACAAACAATTGTCCTGGCGAAGTGCCCAACCATATTAAGCTGCGCGTACCGCGAGGCAAGTGAGAAGAAGCAGGGAGGGAGGAGTGAGGGGTTTGCCGACATGGGGTGGGTGCGCCATGCGGACTCTGCCACTCGGGCTACGGGTGGAGCTCTCTATGGGGCCACGACGCGTGTAAGGGGTGAGCCGAATCGGTTGCGGGTACACCATGCGGACCCTGCCGCTTGGGCCTTCGGTGGAGCTCCCTATGCGGCCACGGCACGTGTGAGGGTGTGCCGAATCAGGTGCGAGTACGCCATGCGGATCTTGCGGCCGGGGCCTTTGGTGGGCTCACTTCGGGACCGCGAAACGTGTGAGGGTGTGCCGACACGGGGCAGGTGCGCCATGCGGACATGGCCGCTTGGGCCCTCGGTGGACCTCCCTTCGAAGCGTATGAGGGGTGTGCCGAAGCGGGTGCGGGTACGACATGCGGACCATGCCGCTGGGGCCTTCGGTGCAGCTCCCTCCGGGGCTGCGAAACGTGCGAGTGTGTGCTCGATCGGTTGCGGGTATGCCATGCGGACCCTGCCGCTTGGGCCTTCGGTGGGGCGTCCTTCGGGACCACGAAACGTGTGAGGAGTGCGCCGAATCGGATGCGGGTGCGCCATGCGGACCGTGTCGCTGGGGCCTTCAAGGGGGCCCTTACGGACCCACGAAACTTGTGGGGAATGTGCCGAATTAGATGCGGGTACGCCATGCAGACCCTGCCGCTGGGGCATGCGGTGGAGCTCCCTATGGGGCCACGAGATGTGTGAGGCGTGTGCCGAATCGGGTGGACCCTGCCGCTGGGGCCTTCGGTGGAGCTCCCTACAGGGTCGCGAACCGTGTGAGTTTGTGCTGGATCGGTTGCGGGTGTGCCATACGGACCCTGCCGTTGGAGGGGCCACGAAACGTGTGAGGGGTGTGCTGAACCGGGTACGCGCACAACATGTGGACCCTGCCGCTGGGGCCTTCGGTGGAGCTCCCTCTCGGGCCACGAAACGTTGAGTGGTGTGCCGAATTGGGTGCGGGTGTGCCATGCGGGCCCTGCCGCTGGAGCCTTCATGGGAGCCCCCATTCGGGTCCACGAAACGTGTGGGGGCGTGCCGAATCGGATGCGGGATCGCCTTGCGGGCCCTGCCTCAGGGGCCTGGCCACAGCACGTTTGAGGGGCGTGCCGAATCGGATGCGGGTACGCCATGCAGACCCTGCCGCTGGGGCATGCGGTGGAGCTCCCTATGGGGCCACGAGACGTGTGAGGCGTGTGCCGAAGCGGGTGCGGGTACGCCATGCGGACCCTGCCGCTGGGGCTTTCGGTGGAGCTCCTTTCGGGGCCGCGATGCCTGTGAGGGGTGTGCCGAATCGCATGCGGGTGCGCATGATGGTGATGAGATGAGGGCATATGCAGGGCAGAAACAGGGATGGGAGGAGGAAAGAGCGAGAGGAGGAGGAGAGGAGAGGAGAGGAGAGGAGAGGAGAGGAGAGGAGAGGAGAGGAGAGGAGAGGAGAGGAGAGGAGAGGAGAGGAGGGACGTGGGGCGCTGTCTTTTTCCAAAGCGAGGATCCAACACCGCAGGACGGTTGGGAATTATCCCGTGACGTACCCAATTATTTCTAAACGTGTATATGTATATAGATATGTAGCACCGCTCACTACAAGCAAACATGTTGAAGGACTCGCAGTGCGCATGGGCTCCCAGAAGTACACCAAACCAAAACGCAGGAATGGCAAGATACGGACGGGGACAGAAGCATGCGGAGGAGGGTGAATGGGGGGGCATACATGTTCAGTGACAGTAACAGGCGCCGAGCGCTACACACGCGGGACAGAGCAACGCCATGCGCTCTGAAGCCAAACAGCGCGTCGTTCTGAGCGAGGAGAGCGCACGGGGTGGTATGGTGGGCCAGAGGCAGCTGAGAATGGGAGGCCACACGCGGACAAAGGACAGCGCCACGCGCTGCGTGGCGCAGCGGCTCCCTGCGAGCTGCGGTGCGACAGCGCCGAGCGCTGCGTGACGGGACAGCGCCGCACGCAATGGGCATTTCTGCCATTTTGGATGGGAGTTGTCGCCGCCAGTTGCGGTTTTCGTCACCGCCTCGCCAGTGAGGTGCTGGCGACATCTGCCGCGATTGCGCCTGACACAGGACCTGCTCCAGGCCGAGCTTGCGTGCCAACCTCTCTGCCGCGAGGAGGCCAGGGAGCCGCGAGGTCTCGAAGGGATCCCCGTGCCACTCCACTCCGCGCGACCTCCCGGGAACCCACGAACGCGGCGACAGTTTCACATTTCGCAGCCCTCCAGGTGGCCGCGAGGTCTCAATTGGGTCCCAGTGTATCTCCACTCCGCTGGATCTCCCAGGTGCCCGCGAACGCGGCGCCAGTGTTACATTCGCAGCCCCCGAGGGAGCCGCGAGGTCTTGACTGGGTCCCCTTGTACTCCATTCCGCGCGGCCTCCCGAGAGCCCACGAATGTGGCGTGTCACGTTTCGAAGCCCACCGCAGGGAGCCGCGAGGTCTCAATTAGGTCCCCGCGTGACTCCACTCCGCAAGACCTCCCAGGAGCCCGCGAAAGCTGTGACAGTTCCACACTTCGCAGCCCCCCGTCGAGCCGCGAGGCTTCAACTGGATCCCTAAGGTCTCGACAGGATCTCCGTGCCACTTCACCCCGCGCGACCTCCCAGGAGCCCCCACGAATGTGGCGACAGTTTCACAACTCGCAGCCCCCACCAGGGATCCGCGAGGTCTCAACTGGGCCCTCGTGTAACTCCGTCCCGCGCGACCTCAGAGGAGTCCACGCATGTGGCGAAGGTTTCACGCTTCGCAGCCCCCAGAGAGCCGCGAGGTCTCAACTGGGTCCCCGTGTAACTCCACTCCGCGCGACCTCCCAGGAGCCCACGAACGTGGCGACGGTTTCACGCTTCGCAGTCCCCCAGGGAGCCGCTAGGTGTCAAATGCGTCCCCGTGCCAGTCCACTTCGCGAGACCGCCCATGAATCCACGAACGCGGCGACGGTTTCACACTTCGCAGCCCTCCAGGTGGCCGCGAGGTCTCAACTGGGTCCCCGTGTATCTCCACTCCGCGAGACCCTACATAATCCAAAGAACGTGGCGACAGTTTCACGCATCGCAGCCCCCCAGCGAGCCGCGAGGTCTCAACTGGGTCCCCGTGTGATTCCATTCCGCGCGAATCCCCCGGAGCCCACGAAAGTGGCGACAGTTTCACATTTCGCAGCCCCCCAGGGAGCCGCGAAGTCTCAGCTGGGTCACCGTGTAACTCCACTCCGCGCGACCTCCCAGGAGCCCACGAAAGTTGCGTCAGTTTCACAACTCGCAGCCCCCCCAGGGCGCCGCGAGGTATCAACTGGAGAGAGGTTGAAGTATCACGTTGAAAGGTTCACTGAATGTTAAATGGAATGAAGAGTGGAGGACATATGGCGTACCTCCGTTGGTGGTGGCGGGCGTCTGGTGCCCACCTTTGGTTCTAGAAGGGCCTATGGTGCCCCTCAGTGCCCACCCCGTCCCGTCCACAGGGACTTCGCACCCCCCCTATGGTGGGGAGGTGGGTGGACGGGCCGACCCCCCCTGACGTCGCACGTACTGCGCCAGGGGTGGTGGGGATTTCCGTTGAAGGCAATGAGTTCCATGAAGTCCCTCTCGCCCGTCCTCCCCAGCCGCACCTCGTCGCCCGTTGGAAGCCCTATGGTGGCCTCCAGATCGGTCGGGTGGCATCGCCCTATGGTGGCTGATGCACCCGGCCGCTGCCGAGCCCTATGGCGGCTTTGGCCAGGGGACGGCGCAAAAGGAGCGAGGCGGTCCACAGGCGGGGAGTCACGCCGCAGCCGCCGCCACCTTGCGGCGTCACGCCCCTGTCGAACGCCTCGCTCCTACTCTCCTGCGGAGGAAGAAAAACCTCCTACCCTCCCCCTCCCAAGTTCCATGAATTCTCTCAAGTCAATGTAGGGGCACTGGACGGCCGGAAGGTGATACAAGTCCCGATCACGGCCCAGATTGCAGAGAGGTAAAAGCATCAAATTGAAAGGTTCACCGAATGTTGAATGGAAAGAAGGTTGGAGGACATATGGTGTACCTCCGTTGGTGGTGGCGGGCGTCTGGTGCCCCCCTTTGGTTCTAGACGGGCCTATGGTGCCCCTCAGTGCCCACCCCGTCCCGTCCACAGGGACTTGGGTGGACGGGCCGCCCCCCCTGACGTCGCACGTACTGCGCCAGGGGTGGTGGGGATTTCCACTGAAGGCATTGAGTTCCATGAAGTCCTTCGCCCGCCCCCCCGACCCACACCTCGTCGCCGTTGGAAGCCCTATGGTGGCCTCCGGTGCTGTCGGGTGGCATCGTCCTACGGTGGTTGATGCACCTGGCCCGCTGCCGCGACCGATGGTGACTCTGGCCATCGGAGCGACGCAAAAGGAGCGAGGCGGTCCACAGGACCTTCACTCCACCAGACCTCCACTCCGCTGGACCTCCACTCCGTTAGACGTCCCAGGAGGCAGGAAGCAGGAGGGAAGATGGGGAGGAGCAGGAGGCAATAGGGGGAGAGCGCAGTGCTCTGTTCAAAACGAGAACTCAACGCAGGAGGTCTGGGATTGTGAAATACAGGAAGCGGCACGCGCCGCCTCCAGCTGTCCCAGGTCCGCGTGGGTGGTTCTACCGAACGCCTTTCAAGACCGCCTCCTCTGCTCAGGTGAGGAGGGCAGCAATGTGGAAGGGGCGCTGACAGACCAGGGGGTGTACGATTCGATGTGCAGCAGGAGAAGGAGAAGGAGGAGGAGGAGGAGGAGGAGGAGGATGAGGAGGAGGGAGGAGGAGGGAGAAGGAGGGGGAGGAGGTGGAGGAGGTGGAGGAGGAAGGAGAGGGCCTCTGGGATTAGTCGTAGTTGTCTGGGCTCCAGGAGCCCTGCCCAGGCCCGGGGGCCATCAAACATTGCTCTTGATGGAGAGCTGGTCAGGGTGGAAGGCCCAAGGTCCAGGACCCGCTTCACTCCGGAACCCGTGCTTTCTTGTAGGGTGGAGGACGTAGGGAGGAGCGAGGAGGGAGGAGGATCAGGACGAGGGCACATTTTGATGATTTAATGGTGTGGCGATTGTAGCAATCAACGGAGCGTACCTTTTGGCAGTGGGGATAGACTGGAGTGGAGTGTATGTTCGCAACTGTCGTGAGAGCTTGTTGCGAGCCCGTGAGGCCCCAGAGCCAGAGTATGCACTCCTCCGAGTTGTTTTTTTGCAGAGGGGGCTTTGAGAGGCGGCAGGTGACATTCTTGGTTATCGTCCGTCGTTTGCACAGGAAGTGGGTTGATGAGGGCAATGGGGGACTGCAGAGGACGGAGGCAGAGGAAAAGGGATCGATTCCGTTTGGATGCCCACTCCCCCTTCGTCCAGGGGCAAGCAATCACGATCTCGAAGGGACGTTGGGCCATCCAGGCGGAGTGGAAGCAGGGACGATAGGGAGAGTAGGAAGTAGGAGGAGGAGGCGGGACCACCACAACCACCACTAGTGCTGAATACGTCCTTTCTTGCTACCGGTAGTACGCGCCAGGTTGATTCGTGATACTTCAGCTGTTAGCATTGCGAGAACGAATGACACGACTTGAGCAACCAGTTGAATTATCACCACCTCGGTAGCAGCACTACGGTTGTTGTTGCTACTTCGGATGGTCCGATGGTTACGACGATGGTTACCGCAAGTGTAGTCACCAGTGTCTCAACTAACCGCGCTGCACCGAGCAATGCACCAACGCCCCATCTTTTGTCATGATTGCCACCAGCGCCCTGATCACGATTGAGCGGAGGTCACCGGCCACACCAAAGACGAACTCTGAAAATATGTTAGGCACGGTGGGTGACATTTCTCTTTAAACGGATCCTGATTCTGGCTCAAGCAAGACCCTTTCATGTGCAAGGGCTGTGTTGGGAATACCGGTGGGATCGCGCTAGGCTCAATCTCTGCTAGTGTTAGGGCGATTGCTAGTGCTACGTATGGGCTCTGCTAACCCGACTGCTGCAACACAGCTCCTCCTCCAGTTGTTGCAACTAACGCTGCTGCTCCTGATCCTGGTATCTCCGCCTGCCTCTGCCTCCACCATCACATGCCTTCTCTCTTCAACACTCTGCCTCCCCGTCCCTCGCCATCATCATTGCCCCTCCTCCGTCCCTATTCCCGTTCCTTCTCTGTCAAGTGCCGTGGCCTCCCTGATCTGTGATGCAAGCTCCAGGGATTTGCTGGATTATGCCGCTGCTTGGGCGCAAAAAGAACACCAACGAGCCGCAGACGATCACCAATGAGGCAGGCCTTGTTTCTCTCTTTGACACACTCGCGCGCTTCGTCATCCAATAGTGTGTGGTCATACAGGAGTTTGGCCTGCGCGATGCCTAGAGCTACTTTAGCATGTTCGCACATGTCATTGGGCATCCCCGCTTCTCCAGGACAGTGTTCAGCTTGCCTGCAGCAATTTTTGTCTGCACGAAGATCTTCCAGGGTCGCCTCGCGGGTTCTGCAAATCAGATTTGCACGTGGTGCGCTTTAAGATACGACCAACATCTTACACCTTTGAATAATCAAGTGTCCCACACCCGGCATGATCGTCCAATCACAGCTGCAAGCCGCCCATTGCCAAGTGACGTCAAGGAAGATGCATAAGACGAGGACGGCGCCTCGGTTCTGCTAATGCGTCAGGGCGTATCTCTGACGAACCCGCCTCGGTCCGTCTGACGCGGAGGGCAGGAGATTTTGACCAAGGTCAGATTCGGCATCTTCGTCTACAGCAAATCTACCTTGTATTGCATCGCGAGATAGTTGTGCTTTAGCGCGTTCGCGGTGTCCGCGGAGAGCACGTCGTGTAGCTGGTGTTTGTTGTCGAGACCTGCGCCACAGGAGGAACACGAGGAGGTCCATCACGTGTTCAGAGGGCGCACCAAGTTAGCTACACTCTTGCCCCCCACCCTGCTGTAAGAACTTGGCTCATGGTTGGGTTGTTCAGCTTTCTCTAAAGCAGTGCTGTCTTACAGCCACGCTGGGGGTCTCTATTATGTGAGGATGGAGGAAAGTTGAAGGAGAGAATAATTGAGACGGGAACATCGGAGGCTCTTTCCGTCCTCGGTTGTCCGTTTTCCCGATGCACGAAGCGGCGCCCCGTGCCCGATTTGCACATCCCGTGCGAAGTTGAGCTGCACCCCCCCCCTCCCCGGAGCTCCCCCACGAAACGCGCTCTACCGACGCGATCCCTGCGCTGCGACGCAGGCCTAGGGGGGGTTACTATGGTTTGGATTCGGCGGCCGCGAGGCTCTCGTCGAGTGAGCCCTTGGGCTGCTCGGGAGCACCTTTTCCCCTCCTCGCGATGCCAAGCGTGAGTGCGTAGCTGAAGGCAGAGAGCGCGCGCGAAATTCCGAGCCGGTTCCTTCTAGGCAGATCGCGCAGATGGTCGCGGCGTGGGCATTTTGCATGGGCGGTGCGACACTGCGAAGATGATCACGCGTCGCGCTTCGCGCAGCCCGAAGCACGACGCTTGATGGTCCAATTGCGCTGCCGTGCGAATCGCCCGTCGCGCTCGGGCGGGCGCATCGGGGAGGGAGGAGGTCGGGCTTGGCGGTGGCCTGGGGTGCGCCCGGGAGTACAGGTGCCATGAAGCTTGGCGCGCGAGTTTTGATTCGGATACCGCTCTCGGTTTGGAAGGAAAGACAACATATTACATGGATGCGCCGAGATGCTCTCAAGTACTGCTTTGCCAGAGATTAGATTCACAACGCAACGAAGGTTCAAGACACACACACACACAAACAAACAAACACATTCATAGTTTGGCAAGGAGACCACGCGCGTAACAGCGTGGAGGAGCCAGGCAAAGGACGAGCGGAGACGCACGTGCCAGTTCAGCTAGTTCAGCTCACGCAAAAGAGACATGTCGTGTCCGCTCATAGGGGACCACGCGGCATGGCTCACGGGGGGGGGGGGGGGGGGGCAGCCGCGCGGGGCACCGAGGGGGGAACGACCCGAGGGCGGGTAAGGCGCGAACAAGAGGGTCGTGGCACGAGGCAGTTGCGCACGGCTGGTGCGAGAAGGTACAGCGGCAGACCTACGAAGAGCCACGCACACATACGCACACACACACGCACTTCCACTTCATGTTCGCAAGCACCCGAATCCCTCATCTGGCCATGTAGCACTGCCCTGTGCAAGCTGTGTTGAGATGCTGAAAAATCCACGGCAAGCTCAACTGGTCGGAAGTGGGCAAGGCGTGTGTCGAGCCCCACGTATTCTCGAGTGCGAGCCGAATCATGGAAATGGAGGTTGCACAGAGGGTAGAGAGAAGGAGTTCGCACAATAGTCGGACAATTCGAAGGGGCACGCATCGTGCTCGCTCGCTCGCGCGCGCACACAAGCACACACAAGCACACACACACACACACGAACGCACACGCAAACTCTCGCACACGCACGCGCACACGCACACGCACACGCACGCGCACACGCACGCGCACACACACACACACTCACACACACGCAAACGCATACACACACACACACACGCACACGCACACGCACACGCACACGCACACGCACACGCACACGCACACGCACACACACACACACACACACACGCATACGCATACGCATACGCAAACTCACACACACGCACACGCACACGCACACGCACATGCACACGCACACGCACACGCACACGCACACGCACACGCACACGCACACGCACACACACACACACACTCACACTCACACACACGCAAACGCATACACACACACGTTTTGGTCTCGCAGCCACGCGCGCAGCGACGCAGTGAAGTCAGTCATCACACACGCACACACACACACGCGCGCGTACACTTTTTGGCGTCGCGGTCTCGCGCGTGGAAAACGCGAAACAAGTGCATCCTCGACCGTGAACTTCGATGTATAGTGATTGGTTGTTTTTCGTGTTCTTATCTTCGCCATCGACTTCCATTCCTTACTTCTCCCGAGGAGAGAGCACCTGCGGCACCGACGGGGCCGACCCGGGTCGCGATTGTGCGGGTCAAGGCGCAGCCCCGGAAGCACAAGGCCCCGCGTTTGGCGTTGAGGGAGCGGCGGCGTTCGAGGATCGAGGGTCGCGATGGTTGTGTTACAATTGTTGTTTTCGGGTTTCCTGTGGCCTCCTCGTGGCCACGGCGGGTCGCAGCCCGAAAATGTGCCTTGGATGGCGTTCTGAGCGAAAGCGGGCCCCGGACAGTCTTCCAGGCCTCGTGGACAAATTCTTGACGGTTCGCATCCCCACAAGCCCATCTCGAAGCGATGCCCAGGGGAGTTGTCTGGAGGAGGGGCGCAGATGAATTTTGAACAGTGAAGCAGGAGGCCAAGAATGGTAAGCACAGCAACCTCGGGGAGTCTCTTGTAGGCCCTTGTGGGCCTCTTGGAGCTCCCTTCGGACCTTTTTTGGAAACCCTCGAGGCGCTCTTGGAGCTCTCTTGGGGCCTTCCTTTGGGCCCTCTTTTGGGGGTCCTCAATTGCGCCCCGCCCGTCTGAGGCCGAAGAATCGGCTCTTGGAGCTCTCCTGGGGCTCTCTTGAGACGGTCTTCCCCATTGGGGCTCGATTGGGGTATCTGAGTAACACCTTAGGCCTCAAAAGATAATCAGAAACAGCATTTGGAGAAAGCACACTTCGTTGATTGAGAAGGCCTTGCGGCCGGTGCCGCCGACCCTGAAGACAACGACGACGACGACGACGAGGACGAGTAGGAGGAGGAGGAGGAGGATGAGGAGGAGGAAGAGCAGGATCACCTTTTAGGAGCCTCTTGGGGACTCCTGGGGGCGTCTTGGGAGTCTCTTGAGCCTCTTGGGGGCCTCTTGGGGGCCTCTTCGTTCCTTCTGAGAGCCTCGCGGGGGCGAGGGATCGAAATGTCCGTTCTGCCTCATCTGCGCATGCTCTTGGAGCCGTCTGAGGGACCTCTTGGGCCGTTTTTGATGCGTCTTGGGCAGTCTTGGGGCTTTCTTGGGCCGTTTGTTGTCTCTCCTGGAGGCCTCTTCGACCGTCTTGGAGCGATCTGAGGCCTCTTGGGCCGTCTTGGAGCGTCGGGAAGGGGAAGAGGCGAGAACGCCAGGAAATCTGTGAGTCTTCCTTTTGGGGCCCTCTTGGGAGTGCTCCTAGAGGCTTCTTAGGACGTCTTGCAGGACTCGTGGGCCGTGTCTGGAGGCCGTGAAGGCGTCTTGGACATATCGTTCGGCGATTCAAAGCCCGCTTGGACCGTCTTGGGGGCCTCTTGGGGCTCGTCTTAGGTTTCTTGGGCTCCAGAACACCCCGGGGGGGAGTCGTATCTGACCCGGCGACCCCCCCCCCCAGGACCCCCTCCCGGGACCCCCCCCCCTGGGGCCGGACCTGGGGACCCGCCCCCCTCCCGGCGAGGAGGGTTCAAAAGGAAGGGGCTTCCCTTCGAGTCGATTACGACGTTGGCTCAATTCCGCTTTGGCTGGCGCGCTTGCGGAGGAGGGTCTCAGGCAAGGAGGGGGTAGCGGCGATGGGCACAGGGAAAGCAGAACGCAAGGAAAGAGGACAACAGGGACGAAGGGACGACGATGAACGAATGACGGCGATGACGGCGACGACGACTCGAACGGAGAAGCCCCTCACACACGCTGGCAGGGTCGGCGGATTTGCATGTTGCGTGTTGTTTGAAATATTTCCGAGGGCGTGCTTGGGAGGTCCCGAGGCCACGTAGAGTCGCCTTGGGGCGGTCTTGATGCAGATCGGAAGTTTGTAGGAAGCTATCTCCAGGCATTTGAGCAATGTTTATGTCACCGTGGAGAACATCTGAGGCAATATGGGGTCATCTTGGGGCCATCTGTGGACCATCTTTGGCCCCCCTCACGTGTCGCGACCACCCCATTCCAGACCCTGGGGAAGGGGATCGGGATAGGGGGAGGGGTCAAGCTACCACAAGCCGCAAGCCGTGTCGCCAAATCCCACCCGCCCTCCCAGCACATAGATAAAACCCGAGTCTCAGAACAGGCAGGTGCCGCCATCGACAACCATCGGGAATCAGTGCAGACGCGCCAGCCAGGTGAGCGATGTCCACAAGGTGCACCGCACGTGGCAGGTGCGCCACGCGCACCAGGTAGGCCACATTGGGCAATACGTCGACTGCCCCACAATCCTATTCAATCACCCATGCGAAGTGGCGGCGGGTTTTCGAGAATTGTGTATTGTGTGTGTGTGCGCGCGTGCATTTGCAATCACTTGGCACTCGCATTTGACAGGGATAGTAGGCCTACGCACATCAGGCAGTACGTGCCCCACCCACCGTCCCTGGCAAAGTGATCTTTGAATTTTTTGTTGAAACGGATGGTGGGCCTCCACACAGCAGGCAATATGCCCCCCCCTCCGTCCCTGTCAAAAGCCAATTCAAAGTGATCGCGGAGCGTCCGCGCATGGTCCAGGCTTTGGTGCAGTGCGCACTTTGCATTTTTCTGTAAAGGATGATTGGGGGTGTTGGCCTTTCGCACCGCAGGCAGTGTGCTGGCCACCTCGCCGTCCCTGCCAAAAGCCAATTCAAAGTGATCGCGGGGCCCCCGCGCATGATCCAGATCCGGGTTCAAAATGCATTTCGTATAGTTGTTTGCCAGGGATGGCGGGGGGTGCTGGCATGGTCCCAGGTTTGTCGCCCGTTGGGTGGGGGAGGGGGTGCATAACCGTAAGGGCTTCGCCCCATGCCGCCGGCCCCCTGTCTCGGATAATGGGAGATGCAAAAGCTAAATCATGAGGTCTGGGCGCCGCCGTGAAGCAGCGTCGGGACATATATGTTTTTCGACCCTGACCCTACGGATCTGCGTCACGGGTGCCACCGAATTTCAGAAATGTGGCAGATCCTTTGTGTTTTTGGACGCTGACCCTACGGATCTGCGTGAGGGGTGCCGCCGAATTTCAGACATGTTGCAAATCCCACATGTTTTTCCCAACCAACCTGTGGTGTTGGGTCCTCGTTTTGAAGAGACAGCGCCCCGCGTTCCCACCTTCCTCCCGTTGCCCCCCTCCCAGTGGGTGTGCCCGCATGCGTCCCGCACACCCATTTCGGCACAACCCTCACACGTTTCGTGGCCCCATAGGGAGCTCCACCGAAGGTCCCAGTGGGTGTGCCCGCATGCGTCCCGCACACCCATTTCGGCACACCCCTCACACGTTTCGTGGCCCCATAAGGGAGATCCACCGAAGGTCCCAGTGGGTGTGCCCGCATGCGTCCCGCACACCCATTTCGGCACACCCCTCACACGTTTCGTGGCCCCATAGGGAGGTCCACCGAAGGTCCCAGTGGGTGTGCCCGCATGCGTCCCGCACGCCGATTTCGGCACACCCTTCACACGTTCCGTGGCCCCATAGGGAGCTCCACCGAAGGTCCCAGTGGGTGTGCCCGCATGCGTCCCGCACACCCATTTCCGCACACCCCTCACACGTCGCGTGGCCCCATACGGAGCTCCACCGAAGGTCCCAGTTGGTGTGCCCGCATGCGTCCCGCACACACACACACATTTCCGCACACCCCTCACACGTTTCGTGGCCCCATACGGAGCTCCACCGAAGGTCCGAGTGGGTGTGCCCGCATTCGTCCCGCACACCCATGTCGGCACACCCTTCACGCGTTTCGTGGCCCCATAGGGAGCTCCACCGAAGGTCCCCGTGGCGCAGTCCGCACGCGTCTCCCCCACCCAGTACACCTCCGTCGGAGGCCGTCGGAGTTCCGCGCCTCCCTCGCCCGTCGTCGCTCTGCCCAGCGGCAAGAGCCTTGCCCGCTATCAGCCAGCCAGCTAGCTCTCTTTGCTGCGCGCAGCGGACGACCCGCGCGCGTCGCTGGGACCCCTCCGGGGCGACCTGCGCGCGTCGCTGGGACTCCGCGCTGCGCTGCGCCCGCAGCTTTGGACTTTTGAGTGCGCGGGCAAAGAGGGAGTAAAAGAAGGGGAGGAAGCGGGCGCGATCCTCGCGGTGGCATCGCGGCGCGCGGGCGATGCCGTCGGGGAGTCCCGGGGAAGCTCCTTGCGGCGGCCACGCCCAGCGTCACGAGCACTCAGAGGCAATCGTTCACAAACTATTGACATTCATATACAAGTGCACCATGCACTGGCATACTCGCAGTCATGCACGTAGACTCGCTCGCACGCAGATTCATTCACAGTCAGACGCACTCGCGCTCAGATTCACCCGCGCTCAGTCTCCCTACGTACTCAGATCAATCGTTTTCCTTCGTGTTCTGTACCACGCCATTCATTTCGGCACACCACTAGCACGGTTCGTTGCCCCATAGGGATCACCACAGAAAAAGGGAATCACAATTGCGGTATTCACACCTGCATATGGTTGGGTCCTTCGTCTGGCTAGTTGGACCCTGACCCTGCCGATCTGCGTGAGGGGTGCCGCCGAATGTTAGAAATGTGGCAATTCTAGACGCTTCGCGTATCCCCACCAGCCCGTCCAGAAACGACGCCCAGGCGAGTAGAGGGTCGTCCTGAGGGGCTTTTCGGCGTCTTGGGTGCCTCGGGGGGGCCTCTGTGGGCCGTTCGGGATCCTCTTTGGGGCCTCCTGGGGGCCTCTTGGGGCCTCTTGGGGCCATCTTGGGGCCTTTGGGGGCCTCCTGGGCGCTTCTTGGGGCCATCTTTGCCCCTTGGTTGCCATGGGTGGTTTCTTGGGGCCTCTTGGGGGTCTCTTGGGGGCCTCCTGGGGGCCTCTTGGGGGGCCTCTTGGGGCCATCTTGCGGCCATCCTGCGGCCTCTTGGGGCATCCTGGGGGCCTCTTGCGGCCATGGGAAGCTGTTTTGGGAGGCTTGGGCTCCTCTTGGACCCGTCTGGGCGCCCTTGAAGGCCCTGCTGGGGCGCTCTTGGGGCAATCTTGGAGGACATCGGTCAAGGAAGTAGGGTTCCTTAATTAGAGCCCCCCCCCAGGAACTCCAAAACTCGTCTCCTGGGACCGCTCTTGGAGCGCTCTTCGGCGCTCTTGGCGCCGTCATGGGGCTTTCTGGGGCCCTTCTTGGAGCTATCTTGAGCCATCTTGGAGCCATCTTGACGCCTCGGATGTGCATCGC